GACTTTGTATTTATATAAACAAATTATTAAAAAATATAGACGGATAATTTAGTCAATTCAAAATCCCAGCCAGCCCGCAAAATTTTTTTTAGCAATTTTTATATTTCTACCGCAATTTTCATATTTCTACCGCAATTTTCATATTTCTCCCGCATAATACCAAATTTCTCCCGCAATTCAAATATTTGACCTGGCAACCCTGTATATAATCATTATTTACTTCATTTTATTTTAATAAAATATTATTTGTTATTATTCAATTTTAAGAAAATGAATCTAATTGCGGACAAGCAATAAGATGAATGTAAGGTCCTTGATTCATCAGGCAACACTTATCAATCTACAAATATTATAATCGTACATTTTAAATCTTGATATATAAATAATTAGATATTTAATAGATTTTTATTGAGACAATAAGTATCCGATAATACCTTATACTACCTGAATACAATCGGTAGCAGGGGTGGGAGCATAAATCCCCTCACCGAAGATTTTAAAATAATATATCTAAGGTTTTTAGAAACTGTGAATTTTAAAATAGCTTATTTCAAATTTGTTATATTATATTCCAAATAACAGCAAAAGTTAAAATTAATTTAAATATTTATTCCTTATGCATTGATATTTTATCCCCTGCATTTTTTTTTAAAACTTAAACATTGATGGATGCAAAAAAATTATATCAACCAATAAAAATTATATTTAATTGTCGCTATTGATAACTATGATAAGACAATAGAGTGGTCAGATATTTAAATATTCTGAATTTTCTGAATAGAATAATTTCTGAAATTTCATGTATTACAAGTAAATAGAAACTTCAAAAGCATATCCGATAAGATGACCTCAGACATCCAGCTGTATGAGCTTATTTTTAATGCACTTGTTGGAATATTAAAATAATCTAAAACAAATATTTCACCAGAAACAGATACTTTATTAGATTCCATAACGCAGTTAATTTTTTTAGCATTGTAATATGTATTAATAAGTTATTTATTTAAACCACAATTGTATGCAATATTTTTAAAAAAATGATAGGTATTTGGGCGAAGCTATGAGAATGCGAATATTATTATACTATCATTTACAAATCTAAAAGATCGAAGCTATGAGAATGCGAATATTATTATACTATCATTTACAAATCTAAAAGATTATAATGGCCATTTTAAAATATTTATGCAATTGTTGAGGCGAAAGCGAAATTAAATGATTTTGAGATTCGCAAACCTAGACTTGTACCTAGATAAACTAATGTTTTCATTATAACGTAGACTCAATTGGGGATCACTATAAAATAACAGCTGTTGTCGATTCTTCATTTTTAAAAAAATTAAAAATAATTTATGATTCGTAAAATGAATGTAACTAATTTACAAATACTATTTCAATAAATTTTTCTAAGGATATATTAAATCTTGGTTGAAAAAATTAAATATTTAGCTAAAGTTTATTCAGAGGATATATATATGGCTTATTAATCTAAGAATTTAAATATTGGATGAGATTAATTTAGTATATAATCTTCCAAGAAAACGGAATTCAATAATTGCTCATTTAGAATATATTTTAGAATTTTTCCAAATATATTATGGTTATTTTAATAACAATAGCATACACGAGGGTTGCCACGTATCCCCCCATCAGCGGGAGACTCCCGCAATTTTTTAGTTTACACGCAGCCATCTCTCTCCCGCAAAACTACAATTGGAAATCTCCCGTAAAAATTTATCGCAATTTTTTAATTTCTTTCGCAATTTTTTTTTTAGTATTTTAAAATTTTTAATATATAAATAATAATTTTGAGAGACATTAATTAATTATTTATGTATTTTTAAAATAATTTTAAATATTTATTCGGAAAACATGTCTAGTTTGTAAATTTCTTTCTATCCTGTTTTATTTTTATTCAATAATAAATCAACATCATTTCATTCATATAAGTCAGTACAGGGGAGTATATCAATATCGATTGCAATATAAAAATATTCTCAAAAATATTAAATAATACAGATGCAACTACATTTGCGGAAATCGTATACATCTATCATGTAGTTCAACATTCACAGAGCTATATCATCACAATGTGGGTGGAATCTTTTTCTCATGATGTTTAACGACTCCAATATAAGTGCAAACCTTACTTGTGGCAGAACAAAAATGAGCAAGGCTATCACAAGTGTTTTAATACCTGAATCCTAAAGGTCAATTCTAGACTATTTGAAAGATGGGCATCCATATGCAATTCTAACAGATGCATCTAATAAGGGAAATATTAAAACATTTCCCTCGATCCTTCGCTATTTCAACAAGAATAAGAACATTTCAATAAAACTGTTAAAATTTTTTCCTCGGATAGTGAAAAATCCAACGATGTAGCTAACCACATAATGTAAATATAGCTGATTCAAGGTTATCAATGAATTGCATAGCTTTCTGCGCTTATAATGCCTCTGTAAATTTTGGCAAAAACCAATGTATATTTACCGAATTGAGGCAGCACAATAATGAATTAATACCAATTGGCTGTATATGCCATATACTACATGATTCCTGCAAGAATTCAATGTATATCTGTGGATGTCGAATTAATTGTGATGAAATGTTTTAACGAATTTAATTCATTAACTAAAAGAGTTAATGAATTAAAAGAGTTGGTGGAGTGGTATGACTTGGAATGGTGTGAGTTGTTGCGATATGTACTTATCAGGTTGTTATCATTAATACCTGCCATCGATAGAATTTTAAAATTTTACAATCCCTTAAAAAAAATACTTTTTAAATAAAGATTTTAAAAGCTGTCCTAAAATTTTGAAAAATTTTTTCGAGTATGAAATGGCAGAAGCATATTTGAGATTAGTTTCACATGTAGGAAATCTACTTCATGCAGTTAATATTCGGTTGCAATCAGAATATTCTTATTAATAAAGATTCACAAAATCATGCTACAGCTCTGTTCTTCTCTACAGTTAAAAATTAAGAATAAATTTTATGGCGCTATTGCTAAAAATATTATAATAAAATGTTCAAATTACTCTAATTAATACATTTTTAAATGAAGCAGATATTTTTATTAAAACAATTTTAGAATATTTACAATCAAAATTTGATTTTAATAACTCTATTTACAAATTTATAAATATTATTACCTTGAAACTGAAACATTCAATTGATGGTTTTTGTAATTTATTTAATATATTAAAAATACCGAAAGACATTGATGTCTTGTTTGAGGAGATTGTAATTCTCTCTATTTTTTTTGATTCGCCAGAATAAGTTAGATGGTCTAAAAGCAGAGGAGAAATGGGTCGAATTTTTTCGTAACAACAATAAATCCCCATGCTTGGGAAAAATTTGATAGTATGTCTTCTCCTTATCTCATTGTAATGCCTCATCCGAGTGCATTTTTAGCCTAATGAGGACTGCCTGGAAAAAGGAGAGAAATCGGATTGCTTTAACAACATTAGAGGCCGAGCAACTATATAATATGTCATGCCAGTAATTTTATAAATATCTCAATAACGACGGTAAACATTTAGTTCTATTATTTAAATCTCAAATAAAATATAATTAAGTTTTAGCAATGGCGCCATAAAATTATTGTCAATTTTTAACTGTAAAGATGAACACATCTGCAGCATAATTTTCTTCTGATTGCTACTACACATCAACAGCATGTAGTAGATTTCCTAGTGAAATCATTCCTAAATATACCTCTGCCATTCATAATTGAAAATAATTTTCAAAATGTTAGGACAGCTTTTATAATCTTTATTTAAGAAATAAAAGGTTTATAAAATTTTAAAATTCTATCGATGGCGGGTATTAGGAACATATCGCAACCAACATTGTGCTGACTCAATTTTGTAAATACACTCTGTTTTTACCAAATTCATTGAGGCATTATCAGATCAGAAAGCTGACATGCAATTTATTGATAATCTCGAATCTGCTATATTTACCATTATATGGTTAGCTATGTCTTTGGATTTTTCACTATTTAAGGCAAAAAAATTTAATAGTTTTATTGAAACGACCTTAATTTTGTTGAAATAGCGGAGGATCAAGGGAAATATTTTAATCCTTATTAGATGCATCTGTTAGAATTGCATATGTATGCCCATTTTTTAAATCGTCAAGAATTAACCTCCTGGATTTAGGTGCTAAAACATTGATGATGCCTTGCTCATTTTTGTTCTACAAGTATAGTTTTCATTTATATTAGAGTCGTTAAATATTATGGGAAAAAGATTTTACCAACATTGTGATGATAAGTATCTCTGTGAATGTTGTACTACAAGATAAGTGATTACATTTGCCGCAACTGTTGCATCTGTATTATTTGGAGTACCTTATTATGTATTTAAACGGGATACATGATAATTAAGCGCCTAACCCTATAATGTTATACACACACACGGTAGATTTCTAATTGCGGTCGTTTTGCGGGACATTCGCATAAAATATATTTTTAATTGTAAAATTAAAATCGTTTTTTTTAATAAAATTTTATCTTGTTTACATTCTTTTATATTTAAAAAAGATCGTTGATTTTTTTTATAAATTAATAATTTTAATAAATCAAGATGATATTTTATTTTGGAAAATAGTTACCGACTTTGTATTTATATAAACTAATTATAAAAAATTATAGGCCGATAATTAAGTCAATTCATAACCAGCCAAAAATTTTTTTTTAACAATTTTTATATTTCTACCGCAAATTTCATACTTCTTCCGCATAATACCAAATATCTCCCGCAATTTGAAAATTTTGACTTAGCAACCCTGATGGAGATATGCTAAATATATTTTAAATTTCTAAAGTGTCGTGAAAAGTAACTACTAGCTCACTACTTTTTAAAAAAATATTTAAAAGTAGCGTTTAAACAACACTGATTAAGAGGGATATCTAGGGTAGCTTTGTTGAATCTTTAACGTTAGAAGGCGATGGAAATTATGTAAGCCCTGTCACAAATAATGACTATCAACGTCAGAAATAATGTAAGTAATAAATTTTCATAAATACTCAAAATGTAGTCAAGGGTTGGTGAAATTAATATTATGAACAAGTCAAATCTTAAATATATTCCTTTGGTATATATTCCCGGTATTTGCAATATTTTATTGATATGTTCAAAATGTCAATATAAGATTTTTTATATTCATGAAAATTATGTTATTTGGTAGATATATCTTAAGCTTTAAATATATTAGATTTTCTAAATCTTACCAATTATTTATACACCAAACAATGCTGAGTAATTATAATTTTTTAATTTAAGCATCACATAGCTAGGGAAAAATATTAGTAATTTTTTTAAAATGCTATTTTTAAATTTGAAACTAAAAAGAACAATTTCTTAAATTTCATAAAACAATTAGTAAAAGGTACACATATATTAGGCCAAATATCCTAATTTATAAAATTCATTACAATACTTTGAATGATTTGATCAAAGTTTATAAATATTTATTAATTATTGTGGCTTGTTACCATATTATATTTAATATATATCTTAAATATATTCATATTAGATGAATCTCTTAATTTTTGGATGTTTGCAGTTGTATTTATTGGTATAACATTCATAGCTTTTGTTATATGGGTGCTGATTGGCATGTGGTAATTATTTAATCTTTAAATTATATCAGAGATGTACTGATTGATATCCAATATCAATATTAGCCATAAACTCACTATTGGCTAATAATTTATATTTTTTGCCAATGTTATGGGGTGATACTAAATTATTAAACCATTTAAAAGTTAGTTGAATAGTTTTTCAATGAAATTTTGCACTAAAAAATATTGTATTTTCTTATAAAACAATATAAAATATTTTTATAATTTTATAAATTGCTTGTTTTCTAGACCATTTTTATTTAAATAAATAAAAAATTTCCTTCTCATACTTCTCTTTTTTAGACTCCTTATTTATTTTTTAAAATGCTTTTATTATATTTTCTAGGGTTATCAGATCTTGTTTAGTCAAAAAGAGGACATATTTTTTATAAATTTTAAATAAGGCATTAAAATAAATTTTAAAAATTTAATTGATTTTTAGGCAGTTATTTATTTTCATTGTATTAATATCAGGGTTTCGAACAAGTATAGCAGTTCAGTTCATTTCAGTTTTTAGTTTAAAATTTTATAAATGCTTTGTTCCATTTCAGTTTTTTTTGAAAAAATTCATATATATGAACAGTTCTTGGTACTCTTTACAAAGTATCTGAAATTTGGTAAAAAAAATATAGTCTTTATTATAAATTTTTAACTGCAATTTTAAAAAAATATATAAAATAAAAATTAGTTTTATTTAACATACGTTTAGGGCTATAAAATGAGCAATAGATATAGATATACAGAGTGCATCTAATATAAAAGTTATCCCAATTTTTAAAAATCATTTTTTTCGAAAAATGACCAAACTGAGCCAGCCCTATATCTCCGGTTCTAATAAAGTTAAGAGTTTAATATTTTGAATTTGTCAATTACAATACTTTATTAACTTAAATACCAAATTTTAACAAAATCTGAGATGGTCAAGTTGTTAAGTTATTGATTTGACATGGAATGACCCCATATTTGCTGCATTATTGGTGGTTATCATGTAAATTTGCTCAAATCATATTTCATATTATTTTAGAACATCTAAAATAATTTTTATAAGATATTCTGATATGTGTCATTCTTTTATCTCTTTCATGCATATGTTATTTATTTTATTTTTCCCTTATTTATAAATTGAATGTTGATCCCCAATATGGACTTATCAGATCTAGCTGATATATATAATTTTAACAAAATAAGTTTTTGGTATATTTCCTTTTATTTGTGAAAAATCAACCATTTTTATAATATTATTGTGTATATTTTCCGATTGATAGTTAAATTTCCACCCAATCCTATAATTATTGGGCTGGGCTATAATATTTCGAAATGATTTGTTGTCAATTGATTTTATTGGTCTTCCGTGAACTGTTATTAACTCGGTGCAGGAGTGGAAAGTTTCTTTATTGATATTAATTTGTATTGTAGTAGTTCTGGGCTTAAAAGCATTTTGGATTGTATTATACTGATTTGCATTTTTCTTTATTTGAATTTTTTAATAGTCAAATTTTCTTTATTTTTTTAAAATAATTTGAATTCATTATCGTGGAATCTTTCTATATGTCTCTCAAGATTTGAAGCATGGTTCCCACTTAAAACTTTACAACGATCTTCTAGTTTACAAATAGATTGATTTATAAGATCACACAGTTTGAATTTTCTCGAACCATTTAGTAGATACTTACTATATGATGACGAATAGATCAGAATCTCTTATTATATAAATATATTAAATAAAAAGCTTAATAGAAACAATTTTATACATAAATTTTATTTTTATATTATAATATGGTTATTTTTTATCTTTTAAAAAAAACTTGGATCATAGAATTTAGATGACAATAAATAAAATGGTTAGCAATATAATGGTCAGGATAATTTTTTATTTAATAATCATATAGTTTTTTAAATTTAGAATTCTAATAATCATTTAAGTCATTATAAATTATTTATTATTAAAATAATATGTTAGTTAGCTTTTACCATTATTCATATGCAAAATAGAAAATATGATTAAAGAATGGCATCTGTAATGAATATTCTTCTAAATCTGTTTTTTTAAATAATAAAAAATCGTACTAAATTATACTTTTATTTATTTATATGTTTTATATTTAATAGACTTACATTGAGTTATAAACAATAGCAAGTTTTACATTTTGATGTTAAACTAAATATAAATAGAATAGTTTAACTTAAATTACCCATTCTGTCATATTCTATATAAACTAAGATAAACCTTTTTTGAATATATTAATTAATAAGAAAGTATTATAAAACATTTTTATTAGATGTTAGTTATTATTGGTAGAATTGTATGATTTTTCCCTAAATTATTAGCAAGTATTATTATAAAAGCTAATTAATAAGAATAAACTTGTTAATTTAGCCAAGAATAGCTTTGTGTTATTTTAAGATTATATTTTATCTAATTAACTGGTAATTTGCCTAATCTCTATTAAATTGAGGTAAAAATAATAAATTTGGTATTGATTGATATTTAGATAATATAAAAAATTTTAATTTAAAAAGAAATCACGAGTTTAAAAATTGCCCCCAAGGTAAATTAAAATTTCAAATTTAGGTTAATAATTTAAGATTGATTAATTATAACGGATCATTCCTGTTTGGCTGTTCGGTTCGATTCGAAACCCTGATTAATATATAATTAATATTAAAATCGAAACAATAACTTACAAATCATATTTTTTTATTTCATATTTTTCATAATATAATAGGCCTTTTTTCTAAAAATTTATAGAAATCTTGGTAAAACGATTTAAAATTGTATTGTTTGCATATAATAGCTTTTATAGATTCCATACTAAAAGAAACTATTTAAATTAATTCTTTTTTAAATCAAATTTATTATTATATATATTATTTCTTTATATCTAAAAACATAGTATATATATAAAAAAAGTTAATTTAAACATATTAAACAATCAACGTTAATATATTTTAAAAATAAATAATATTCAAATAAGACTAATCAACATTCCCCCTCTTCTACAAAGAACAAAGCTTCTTCTCAGCAGTCATCGAGAGCTTGTTGTCCTAGAAGTTTTTTCTGTTTGGATTGTACTCGGTTTCTTCTTGGTTAGCGCATAAATCTCAAATGTTCTCGTAGGCTTGATTCTATTACGTAGGTTTGATAAAATCGTTTATTAGAGTTGCGTGAGTTTGTACGTTTATTGTAGGCTTGATATCCTTATCGTATGTTGTTCACATTTCTCAAAATTGTTATTATCATTAATCCAGTTGAATATTGGAATTTGGAATAAATCGGAATATGTAATTTGGAATAGTTGATCAAATCAAATATATGAATAATATGCACGAATAAATTTTGAATTTCGGAAAAATATGTAATAAGGAATGATAATTTAAGGATAAAATTTTAATCCAGAATAAGGAATGATAAATCATAACGATTATTATATTATTTTTTAGGTGTTAAGTTAATCATAGCGTTTTATACTTTTAGCGTTTTATATTTTTAGCGTTTTATATTTTTAGCGTTTTATATTTTTAGCGTTTTATATTTTTAGCGTTTTATATTTTTAGCGTTTTATATTTTTAGCGTTTTATATTTTTAGCGTTTTATATTTTTAGCGTTTTATATTTTTAGCGTTTTATATTTTTAGCGTTTTATATTTTTAGCGTTTTATATTTTTAGCGTTTTATATTTTTAGCGTTTTATATTTTTAGCGTTTTATATTTTTAGCGTTTTATATTTTTAGCGTTTTATATTTAAATTTTAAGCACGTAATCTTTTAAGTAATCAGGTTTATTTTTAATTCTTATTGGTCTAGTAATTGGTATCTTAATCTCATTCTTCGTGTCCACACTTCCCCCCTTAGAGGAATTTTTAGGGTCAATTTCATGATATTTTAAACTGTGTTGTAACATTCTCTTTTCCTTAACTGGTCAAGATGCCTACTTACTATCCCTTTATCAGTATAAACTTGAAACATGGTGTTACTCTCTTTAAGCTTGATGCTGCCTTTGCACCACGTATCATCACCCTGTTTCTTATACCAAACATAGTCTCCTCTATTAAAAGTTCTATTTCGTGGTAACGACATGAAGACTTCACCAACTTTATCCTCCAAAGGTTTTAATAAATCCCACTTTATTCTAATGTCGCGGTTAAACATTCTCTTGGACGGTGTAACTCCCGTAGTGTCATTCGGCGTGTTTCTATAGTTGAACAAAAATCTGTCCAGCGCAGTTTCTAAGTCAATCTTAATGTTTCTTTTCATATGAGCTTTAAATGTTCTCACCATACGTTCAGCTTGTCCATTAGATTGCTGATGGTAGGCCGACGTTAGTACATGTTTTATATACCATAATTGCTACAAAATTTTTCAAAATCTTTGCTCGTGAAATTGGTACCATTATCTGTAACAATGGTTTCAGGTATACCAAATAGTGAAATAGTTTTATAAATTTCCTTTAACGTGAATTCAGTCGTAATACTCTTTACCGGAACTATAACCGGAAATTTACTGTAAGCATCAACGATTATCAACCAATTCTTTGTAAAAAATGGACCCGCATAATCTATGTGTATCCTTTCAAATGGTTTAGTTGCTGCTACCCATGGATTTTGTATTTTCTTTGGATTGTCATGATAAATATTACAATCATCGCAACTTTTGACTTCCAAATCAATGTCGTTGACCATACCAGACCACCACATACGATCTTTGGCTAAGGATTTAATTTTACCTGCTCCCAAATGACCTTCGTGTAACGCCTTCAGTATGTTCTTTCTCAGACTTGACGGAATTATTATTTTGTCGCTTTTGTACAGACAATCTTTAATGATACTTAGTTCGTGTTCAATATTTTCATAAATTTTATTTTGGATAGGCACATTATTTCTTATGTCATTCATAACTTGAGATAATTCAAAATCTTTGGATGTTTCATCACGTATTCGGTCAAAACTAAGAGGTATATCGCCAAAGTCATTTATAATCGCGATATCATCAATAACGTCATCA